GGAAGGGAGTGGTGCGGTGGACTGATTATGCTTCGTCTGGCGGGCGTTCCTCATTCAATCAATCAATCTAAAGGTACTTGAATACCAACTCCCACGATCTTCGACATAGTTAGACCACGATTGGAAATATCGCGTAGGAGCCGTTGAGTAACTTCTTTTTCCTCCTTTATCCTCAACCTAGGGTCGCGGGCAAAGACGGGCAGCAGAATCCGAAGGTGCCGAACTAGACTGACGTTGTTTTGACCAATGCGTGCCATCCAAGATCCTAGGTCACTGGCAGAAGCAGCGAACACGTTGTTGCCGTAGTAAATTGACAATGTCTCCTTACGAACGGCATGTGACACTCTTGTTAGCGCTGGCTGTGAAGCCCAACCCGTGCGGGCCAAGCCGCTGGAAAAGCCCCGAGGCCGTCCGGTAAAGATTGTGGTGCATCTTCTCATACCACCTTCACATTCTTTAGGTACGAGAGCGAGTTCGTAAATACGATTCCGTAGTTCGGCCGACAGTGAAAAAAAGTTGGTGTGACTTTCGGCAGCCGCTCGACTAAAACTCGTGTCAGATCCTAAGTACTACAGTACACGGTAGCATGGAGAGCGCTTACTCCGCCTCAATATACCTTTCAAACAACTCTGTGCACTGGTTTGCACAGGCCTTTATCATATGTGACTTCATGTATGGCTCTGTTTCGCGCAGCAGATCTTCCACCACCACGGAGAATTCCTTGCCACTAACCATGCTGCGGCGTTGCTCTTGCGACACTATCAGTGTTTCCCTTTTTGCGCTGCTGCTACGTTCTTACGGTACGATCGGTTTGAGGTAGCCGTTGAAGGTGGGTAGGTGAAGTTTGCGGGCGCTCGGGGGTTCTTCGTACGACAGCGCGACTTTGCTTGCGACCGTTCGCGCCGATAGACGTCGGAATGAGTTGGAGAGGCGAGGAGTCGAACTCCCTGACGGCAATCAGACTCTGTGCCCGTGAATCTTGGTTCTATTGACGGAGGCAGTGAACCTTGCACCAAACGCTTACTATAGTACGCCGTATTGCTGAGCTGAGAATCTGTCTCTGTATAACGCTAAAGGTAAGAGGGGATAAAGTTGGTTGATTGATTGACTGATTATTATTATTATTATTCATTCTTACCCCGATATAGCTCCCTTGTGGGTCCATGCGGGTTGCTCCTATCTATCTGCTTACAAGGAGGGAAACCGTGGCAACAGCCCGGGTGAAAACTCCTTCTTCTACGTGAGTGGCCTCAGCCCTTTTGCCAGTGATGCTGTTATACCATGAGCTGTTCCTGTAACAGCCCAAGACGACGCTCACCCGTCGTTGACGTCGTTCCCGGCCCTCCTGCCACGTTGTCGACGTGGTGCTCGAGACTTCTCTTCTAGTGTCTCCCTCGCCACGGAGAATTGCGACAGAATGTACTGCCGAAGGAACCATCTCGTCACTGCTTTGATACCCTCCTCAGTGCTCAGCATTGTCTTTAGATCGCTCGTTCGCGCGTCCTGGATCATCTTGTCGCGATCTCGTGCGTACCGGGGGCAGAACAAGACGATGTGTTTAACTGTCTGCTGTTGCCAGCCACACTCACAAAGCGGGCTTGGGCAGTCGGGAACCTTCCTTCGCGCTAGATAGTCGTTGAGACCAATGTGTTCTGTGCGGAGTAGGGTAGCCAAAGTGCTTTCGGCTTTCTGAAGTCCTCGGTGTAGCCAGTACTGTCTGAGGTCCCACTTCACGGTCTGAGCAGTGGCGGACGGCAACCCGCTTCTTTCCCGCTCTTGTTGATATGTCTGCCACCGTTGCGCCCATTTATCGTCTGCCATGGCTTGCATGAACAGCTTTGGCTTGCCTCCCTTCCTTCCTATCTTGTTTCGCCATCGTTCGGCCATCGTAGGAGGCCGAGACATGCTCACATTGAGCGTCTGCCTAGCCCTCTCTTCAATCGTGGTGCAGGCTTGCACAATGGTGCGATCGCTGTTGGTATCGGCAGTCCGCAGAGCGTGTGTTCCCGCTAGTCTTTCAAGGTGTAGATCTAACGGCTGAATGCTTGCCTCATGTTCCAGCAGTTGGATGTTCGTCGTTTTGTACGCTCCGGTGATGACCCGCAGACACTTATTCTGTATCGTTTGCAGCGGATAGATAAGCTTGTTCCTGCCTATTCTTTTGTCTTCGGCATCGTACCACACCTCGCACCCATACGTCAACAACGGTCGAACCACTGCCGCATAGATGTGCCTTGCTCTCGTAAAAGATGCTCCCCACGTGCTCTGTGTAAGCCGGGTGACTGCAGACATCTGAGCTGCCGCCTTCGCCCTCGTCTGTTTGATGTGTGGTCCCCACTTCAATCGAGAGTCGAGATGCACGCCAAGGATTCGAACTGCTGGTGACGGCCCGCCTTGAAAGCCTGGGATGTGGATCGTGGCCTGCAAATTGAACTTCTTCAGTCGTGGTGTGAAGTGTATGAGCTGGTATTTGTCGGGTGCGAAGGTCGCACCGTGTGTCTTCGCCCATTTTGTGCACGTTTCATTCGCTTGTTCTAGGATGCGACAGTTTTCCTCGGTCGATCGACTGAACGTCAGGATGTTAGTGTCATCTACAAAGCCCACCGCTGTGGTCAAGCCATTGTTGAGTTGTGGGAGCAGTGTCGAGGCGAAAAACAGGAACAAGATAGGCGAAAGCGTGGATCCCTGCGGTATACCTGTTGAGACCTGTCTCGTGTGGTCTTGATAGGTGCCGAGTGTCAAGAACGTGGTGCGGCCGGTGAGGAAGGACTGGATGTATTGCACAGTCCAACCTGGGATTCTTGCGTTTCGTACGTTGTGCAGGAGTCTGTCGTGAGAGACGTTATCGAACGCGCCCGATATGTCCAGGCTCAGCAGCGTAGCTACGAGCTTCTGGTCCTTGGCCCACACAGTCCGGATCTGCTCGGTGAGAAGTTCGAGTGCGGTCACAGTGGATCTCTTCGGCCTTGCTCCCATTTGTGTGTCCGGAAGCAAGTGATGTTGTTCAACCACCTCGGATAGTCGCATGGCTACCACCTTTTCTAGCACTTTGCCGAGTGTGTTGAGTAGCGCGATTGGTCGGTGGGCTTTTGGGACATCGTAGCATGGTTTCTGTGGCTTCCGTAGCACGACCGTGTTTGCGTGTCGGAACGGTGCTGGGTGGTACGACATCTCGAGGCATTCCTGAAAGAAGGCGGCTAGTGGATGCGCAAGCATGTCTCGGCATTCTCGGAGCATTCTGTTAGGGATGCCATCGGGCCCGGGTGCCTTGTCTGGTGGGAGCTTCCTCAGCACCTTGACGATGTCTTCGGCGCTTACGCTCTGTGGGATGTGCAGTTCATCAGGGTATGTGTGGTTGGCAATGTCTGATAGGTCGGCAGTCTTTGGCGGAGGAAAGAAGTGTCGCGCGAGGATCTCTGCTTTCGCCTCGTTCGTGCTTTGGTGAATGCCTTCTCTATCTTTCAGTGGTGGAAACTGGGGCGGTGCTACGGGCTCAAGCGCCGTTGTTCTCGCCCACTTGGCTAGCCTCCACATCTTCTTCGGGTCTTTCGTGATATCTGCCACGGTCTGTCGCCACATTGCGCGAGTGTCCTTCCGTATCTGTCGCTTCTTCGAGTTTGTTGCAATCCTGTATGCTATGTAATCGACATCTGAACCACTCCGGATCCATTGTCGTCGTGCCCTCCTTGCCCGCAGTGTCGCGTCGGTGCACTCGACGGTCCACCCGCTTCGCACGAGTAGCGAAGGTCGGGTCTTTGGTATTGTACGCTCTATCGTGTCCTGGATTGCTGTTTGAAGCCGTCGAGCTTTCTCATCCAACTCCGCATGGCTAGTACTAGGGACTAGGCCAAGATCGTCGATCTTTTGTTGCAGGGTCTCGCGGACCTTGTCCCAGTCCGCTCTTTTCCACTGCGGGCGGGCGGGCCTCTTGGGTTGGGTGGGTATTATCATCTCAATCGAGGTGATTATTGGAACATGATCCGAGTCTGAGTCGAGCTCCTCGCAAGGTCTGCATTGCCGCATTTGTCCCGCCACGTGACCAGTCGCAAAGACGAGGTCGAGGGTGCTCATACTGCGTTGGGTCCGCCACGTCACCGAGCCCGGCGGCAGGGTCAACTGTAGGTCCGCCGCGGTCGTGATATCTATGAGATCGTCCGCCAGCGCATGTTGCGTCGGCAGGAGAACGCCTCCCCAGGACGGATGGTGCAGATTAAAGTCTCCGAGCAGAAGATGTTGGCCTTCGCCAGCGAGCGCTCCAGGGAGCTGACGAAGTACGCCAAGCTCTCGGCTCGAGGTCAGATTCGGTGGCTGATTGTAACAGTTGTGGATGTGTAAGGCGTAGTCATCCATGCGGAACGTAAGCGTCAAAAGATCGGCGGAGTGTTCTTTCGTTTCCCAGCTGTCCTGGTCGAGCACCTTGCTTACAAAGAAGCATACTCTCGTGTTTTTATGAGGCGGGTATACGAGGTGGTAATTTGGTGAGCGCATCGTTGTCGGCGTTTGCGGGTTCCTCCACGGTTCTTGGAGCGCAATCACGTGGTGCGTCTCTGGGTCGATCGCTTGGAAGAATGCGCTCATGACCCGGTTGCGACTTTTGTTGACGTTATACTGTACGATGTTGAGTGTCGTTGGTGCTCTACTCATCTTCTATCATGGGGTCGGTGTGCTGTGGTTCGGGCTGTGTTGTTGTCGTAGGGCGTCTGCTGGGTCCCTGGCGTTTTCGCTCTCCTCTAATTGGGGAGTGCTTTCGTTTTCGAGATTCCACGAGTGTCCACTCCGGTTGTCTTGCGCTTCGTGCCGCTGTTGGTTCATTCGTCCAGCCATGCTGACTCGGAGCAATAAGTCGAGCTTGAGATGCCCTCGCCTTAGCTGTCTTTCTTAAGCTACACTCTGCACTCCAGGCTGGGTGTCTTCTATTGCAGTTTGCACACTTCGGCTCCTCTTTTCTCGTACATTCCTGCGTCTTGTGCGACATCGCACAGTGTCCACACGTGTCGGTCTTACGACAATTCGTGGCTATGTGCCCATATGCCTGGCACTTGTAACACTGCGTGATGCGGAACTGCGAGTTGTAGTATTCGGCTACGAAGCGCAAAGTTGCTGACGAGGCCTTTGCGGATGATCTGATTCGCCGTGTGGAGTTCTGCAACCCCTAGCACTAGTGTGGAGTATTTCTTCTCGGGTGCGTGAGCCTGTCGTAGCCATTTCGCCCGCACGATTTTGAGTCCTGGATGCAGGGATTGGTTCTGCTCTTGCAACTTCACTACGTCACTCGGCTTGCTGGGATCGATCGATTCGATCGGGACACTGTGTACCATGACTTGGTACAGCTGTTCCGTCGCCACGGTGGAGTTTCCCAAGCACGTTGTCCATTTCTGTTCCCGAAGCATTTCCGTCTTTGCTTTTTCACTGCTGAGGTATAGCCGGACATCTCCGCTGGGCAGCTTTCGGGCTGCGACTACTGCTTTCGCCTCTGTATAGCTTTGTTGAACTTTTTGTACGATTGTCTCGTTTGGCAAACTGGAAATGATCCTTCTCTCTTCCAAGTCAGGGATCCGGATGGTGATTTCGCTCGTTTCGCACGGCAGTGGACTTCGCGGCGCGGTCGCCTGCGGTATTGCGGCCGCAGCTTGTGCCCATGTTTGTCGCGGCGATGATGGTGGAGTCGGGAGCGCTTTGACTGTCTTGTGTACGGCCTGCACCTCGTGCAGGATCGCCAGCAGACTGGGTGGCTCTTCGGTCCGCTGGAGAAGCTTGGTGAACGCGCCCCTGGCGACGTCCAAGATGTCGCGTATCAGCGCGCTCGGGAGCGACGCCAGTCCGTCTGGCGCGTCTAAGGCTGCGTTGGCGATGTCTATGTCTGATAGTGCCTTTTCGTAGATGCCTGCGTCGTTGTTTGGAGGTCGGGTTAGAGTTGACGCTTTCCGTGGACGCGTCTCGGCTCGAGGCTGGCTTCCTC